TCTCTCTCTCTCTATATATATATATATATATATATATATATATATATATATATATATATATATATATATATATTAATAAATTACAATATATATATATATATATATATATATATATATATATATAGAAAACTTATGTCAATTTAAGTGGATGTCCACTAAGTTTCTTAGTCATTAATGATCACTTGATTGAGCTACATTGTGGATGATCTGCTCCGTTGAACTTGATCTACATATTCTAAAATCCTAACACACCAAATTAGGGTGAACCGTCATGGTTTGATCATTCATCCACTCGTATCAATTTTAACGGTATCGAATGAATAGAACTTTTTACATGGCTCTACGGAGGGTCAAACCACGACGGGTTCACCCTAAATTTGGTGTGTTGGGGTTTTAGAATATGTAGATCAAGTTCAACGGAGTGGATCATCCACAATATAGCTCAATCAAGTGATCATCAAGGACTAAGAAACTTAGTGGGCGTCCACTTAAGTTGTTGTAATTTCTCTGTGTGAGAAGTTACAGTTTTTGTTTTTTCAATAGTTTTAACATGATATGATGTTTTTAATTTAAAACCTTCTTTACAATAGATATCATTAGTACTAACTTTAGGTATTTTCCAATTTTGAATGCTTTGATCAATATTTTCGTAATCTAAGGATTCTGAGTTTTTAACCGACATAGTTCTTATATAAGCATTATTCTTATCAGGAGAGAGAGAGCTTAGAAACTTAGGCATCTTAAGAAAGTCTTTAAGACTCAACCTGTCAACAGCAAGGGATGAACATGGACAGAAAGACCCTAGACGCACACAAAGCTTAGCGGGCGAAAACCGTGTGAACTACGACAACTAGTTAAGGAAAAAAACTTAAAGAAGATAGCAAAGTAAACAAGCTAGGTATTAAGCAAATGTAGAAACTCTAAAAAGTTTGCAGTGTCCCTACCAGTCAACAACACCGGATGAACACAGATTAAAGCTGTGTAAGTTGCGACGAAGGCAAGAAAAAGGAGAACAAAGAAAGAGAACTAACCGTGACCAGGACTTGTTTAGCCTTGATACGATAGAGCTAGCTAGTGGGGATTACTGTGTAGACGGAGGAGAGGATATATCTATTGTTTATAGCTATATCTTCTTCTTCATTCACATGTATATCAAAAATAAAAGAAGAAAATATAAAGATGAATAGTAAAAAATGAACAGTAAAAGCGTGAACAGTAATGAACAGTAACCGAGGCGGGAATGAACAGTAACGGAAGCAAACTAGATATATTTACATAGGAGATTTACAAACTAGAAAGAAATCAAACTTAAAAACTTACAAACCGAAAGCTGGGAGATCATGTTGGAGCTAGTAGTAGAGCACACTTATCTTACAAAACACTCAAAAGAAAGATTAAAAGCAAACATCACTAAAACTCAAACTAAAAACTTAAAACTTAAAACTAAAAAGTGGAAACTGGAGGGATTCCACAAGAGAGGATAAGACTTCAACTCTCCAAAACGCCTCCCCTAATGCTTTAACTTCTTCTCCTTTTATAGACTTTTTCTGGCACTATGCAAAAGATTCATTTTCATTCTTTAAAGCTTCTTTAAAGCTTGGAGGTCCCCACCGTCTTCAATTTTGCAGCATCTTTCAGTATCCAAGGTAGAATAGTTTCTCTTCTTGTAGCCTTTTTGACCCAAAATTTCTTCTTCGTTAAGCATCTAAAGCTGATTGGCTATAGGCCTGTATTTTAGCTGCAGTCTACTTTATTTAGCTGTGTAAGAAATTTATAAAAGTTAGATATTTTAAACTTTTTGGAAAAGACAATGTGTGATCGACTTAGTGTTTAAGCCGTTGATATTAATCAGTAGTTACCATAAGTTAATGGTCTATGAATTTTACCATATGTTAATGGCGAATTTTACCATAAATTAATGGTATATCATAGATCAATACCGTAACAATCGTCACCATTGTTGTCAAAACCATCTTCACTATTCATGGGAGTATCTTCAAGCGCGGTTTCATCTTTTATTTTAACAGGCTCTGATGTCTCAGCAGGTTCTGATGTAGAGGACGTGGTATTCATTGGTGCTAGTATCATTAGCATTTCGTCATAAGTTAATGACTTTAGTTTTTCTTCACTTGCATTTGGATATTGTAGCGCAAATTTGTCATAAAGACTTTCTGGTTTCGCTTTCATATAAGATCTTCTAGGATTTGATTTTATTCCATATTCTGGGCTATAGTCTGGGAGCAGAGAGCCTTTTCTTTCATTAAGATAGTTCACAATATTCCATTTATCATACCATTTTACAGAAATACTTCTCGCAAAATAAGATGGTGTACCGTTAACACAATCTCAATCCCATTGCATAATCCAGGGCAGACCAAATTCCATAGATATTTGAAGCATATCTAGTGGCTCAATCCCATTGCATAATCCAGGGCAGACCAAATTCCATAGATATTTGAAGCATATCTAGTGGAGATAGATTTTTTTCCTTGTTTTTTAAGGATTTCTTTTGGCATAATTTCTTTGATGGCTCCAAATTTAGCCCAGAAGGTTTCAATAAACCAATTTGGTAGACACATTTGATTCATAAATCGTATCCACCATGAATGCTTTCCCAGATGATTTTGAATGTACAGAACATGTTCCCAAGCAGCTTGATAGTCCCAATAATTGTATTGTTGGGGACAAATTAGAGTTTTTTCTTTAAACTTTCGCGGAACGTTGAGATTTCCATAAGAGTTCCATTCATTTAATGGAATAATACGATATACTCTTAGCCGAGAGTAACTATATTCTTTACCTTAGTATCTATGATGAGCGAATGCACTTTCTGTTTCTTTAAGAATTTTCTCATAGTAGAGGGTAGTTTTACCAAACATGGACGGAATATAGTAATATTCCTTGGGAAGGAATTTTGCTGTCATTTCAATCGGTAAAAGAGTCTGATCAGAGGTTTCGAGGATGACAAGTTTATCCAATGTTTTCTGATAAAATTAAGAATATGTTCCCTTATCGTCTTGTGTTAAGGGAGTAGAAGAAGATCTCTCTTTTTCATGTGAGAGAACCCTTTGGTAATGATATTTTGACAGTGCCATATCCTTGTAGAAATTCCCTGGAGAGGAAATCATGTAAATTATTATTATCACCCTTAATAAATTCTATATCAAAATCAAACACAGTAAGGATATCTTGCCATCTAGCAAATATTTGTTTAGATGCTAAGTTTTGAACATCTTTATTGATAACGTATTTGGCAGACATGCAGTCAATTCTGAGTAAGAATTTTTGGTTTAATAGATCGCTTTGAAATTTATTGATAGATAGAACAATAGCAAGCATTTCCTTTTTTATTGTTGAATAGTTTTTTCGAGTGTCATTCCAAGCACCAGAAGTAAAGGCTACTAGAACATATTTATTGTTAACTCTTTGCTTAAGAACCCCCCCGTAGCCAAAATCAGATGCATCTGTTTCAACTATTTTAAAAGCTGTAGGATCTGGAAGAGATAAACAAGGCAATGTTTTTACTTTAGCCTTTATCCTTTTGACCGCTTCAGAATGTCTTTCTGTCCATTCGGTACAATCCTTTTTTAATCTGTCACTAAGAATTTTTCTATCATATGCAAGGTCTTTATAGAAATCAGAAACATAATTAAGACATCCTAGAAATCTTTGTAATTGCTTAGTGTCTTTTATCTCATCAGGAAATTTATCAGCAAAGGCAATGACTCTTTGGATAGGAGAAATAGTACCTTTGTTAATAGAATATCCTAAAAATTG